TCCAGTTTACAGACATAACTATGACAGTCAGGTGAACAGACATGTGAAAGGATAGATGTTCCAATTTACATACATAACTATCACAGTCAGGTGTACAGACATGTGGCAGCATAGATGTTCCAGATTACAGACATAACTATGACAGTCAGGTGTACAGACATGTGACAGGATAGATGTTTCATTTACAGACATAACTATGACAGTCAGGTGTACAGATATGTGAAAGGATAGATGTTCCAGTTTACAGACATAACTATGACAGTAAGGTGTACAGACAAGTGACAGGATAGATGTTCCAGTTTACAGACATAACTATGACAGTCAGGTGCACAGACATGTGAAAGGATAGATGTTTCTGTTTACAGACATAACTATGACAGTCCGGTGTACATACATGTGACAGGATAGATGTTCCAGTTTACAGACATAACTATGATAGTCAGATGTACGGACATGTGACAGGACATGTGACAGGATAGATGTTTCAGTTTACAGACATAACTATGACAGTAAGGTGTACAGACAAGTGACAGGATAGATGTTCCAGTTTACGGACATAACTATGACAGTCAGGTGAACAGACATGTGAAAGGATAGATGTTCCAGTTAACAGACATAACTATGACAGTCAGGTGCACAGACATGTGAAAGGGTAGATGTTCCAGTTTACAGACATAACTATGATCGTCAGGTGTACAGACATGTGACAGGATAGATGTTTCATTTACAGACATAACTATGACAGTCAGGTGTACAGATATGTGAAAGGATAGATGTTCCAGTTTACAGACATAACTATGACAGTAAGGTGTACAGACAAGTGACAGGATAGATGTTCCAGTTTACAGACATAACTATGACAGTCAGGTGAACAGACATGTGAAAGGATAGATGTTTCTGTTTACAGACATAACTATGACAGTCCGGTGTACATACATGTGACAGGATAGATGTTCCAGTTTACAGACATAACTATGATAGTCAGATGTACGGACATGTGACAGGACATGTGACAGGATAGATGTTTCAGTTTACAGACATAACTATGACAGTAAGGTGTACAGACAAGTGACAGGATAGATGTTCCAGTTTACGGACATAACTATGACAGTCAGGTGAACAGACATGTGAAAGGATAGATGTTCCAGTTAACAGACATAACTATGACAGTCAGGTGCACAGACATGTGACAGGATAGATGTTCCAGTTTACAGACATAACTATGATCGTCAGGTGTACAGACATGTGACAGGATAGATGTTCCAGTTTACAGACATAACTATGATCGTCAGGTGTACAGACATGTGACAGGATAGATGTTCCAGTTTACAGACATAACTATGATCGTCAGGTGTACAGACATATGACAGGATAGATGTTCCAGTTTACAGACATAACTATGACAGTCAGGTGCACAGACATGTGACAGGAAAGATGTTCCAGTTTACATACATAACTGTAACAGTCAAGTGCATAGACATGTGACAGGAAAGATGTTCCAGTTTACATACATAACTGTAACAGTCAAGTGTACAGACATTTGACAGGATAGATGTTCCAGTTTATATACATAACTGTAACAGTCAAGTGCACAGACATGTGAAAGGATAGATGTTTAAGTTTACAGACATAACTATGACAGTCCGGTGTACAGACATGTGGCAGCATAGATGTTCCAGTTAACAGACATAACTATGACAGTCAGGTGTACAGATATGTGAAAGGATAGATGTTTCAGTTTACAGACATAACTATGACAGTAAGGTGTACAGACAAGTGACAGGATAGATGTTCCAGTTTACAGACATAACTATGACATTCAGGTGAACAGACATGTGAAAGGATAGATGTTTCTGTTTACAGACATAACTATGACAGTCCGGTGTACATACATGTGACAGGATAGATGTTCCAGTTTACAGACATAACTATGATAGTCAGATGTACGGACATGAGACAGGACATGTGACAGGATAGATGTTTCAGTTTACAGACATAACTATGACAGTAAGGTGTACAGACAAGTGACAGGATAGATGTTCCAGTTTACAGACATAACTATGACAGTCAGGTGAACAGACATGTGAAAGGATAGATGTTCCAGTTAACAGACATAACTATGACAGTCAGGTGCACAGACATGTGACAGGATAGATGTTCCAGTTTACAGACATAACTATGATCGTCAGGTGTACGGACATGTGACAGGATAGATGTTCCAGTTTACAGACATAACTGTAACAGTCAAGTGCATAGACATGTGACAGGAAAGATGTTCCAGTTTACATACATAACTGTAACAGTCAAGTGCATAGACATGTGACAGGAAAGATGTTCCAGTTTACAGACATAACTGTAACAGTCAAGTGTACAGACATTTGACAGGATAGATGTTCCAGTTTATATACATAACTGTAACAGTCAAGTGCACAGACATGTGAAAGGATAGATGTTTAAGTTTACAGACATAACTATGACAGTCCGGTGTACAGACATGTGGCAGCATAGATGTTCCAGTTAACAGACATAACTATGACAGTCAGGTGTACAGATATGTGACAGGATAGATGTTCCAGTTTACATACATAACTATGACAGTAAGGTGTACAGACAAGTGACAGGATAGATGTTCCAGTTTACAGACATAACTATGACAGTCAGGTGAACAGACATGTGAAAGGATAGATGTTTCTGTTTACAGACATAACTATGACAGTCCGGTGTACATACATGTGACAGGATAGATGTTCCAGTTTACAGACATAACTATGATAGTCAGATGTACGGACATGTGACAGGACATGTGACAGGATAGATGTTTCAGTTTACAGACATAACTATGACAGTAAGGTGTACAGACAAGTGACAGGATAGATGTTCCAGTTTACGGACATAACTATGACAGTCAGGTGAACAGACATGTGAAAGGATAGATGTTCCAGTTAACAGACATAACTATGACAGTCAGGTGCACAGACATGTGACAGGATAGATGTTGCAGTTTACAGACATAACTATGATCGTCAGGTGTACAGACATGTGACAGGATAGATGTTCCAGTTTACAGACATAACTATGATCGTCAGGTGTACAGACATGTGACAGGATAGATGTTCCAGTTTACAGACATAACTATGATCGTCAGGTGTACAGACATATGACAGGATAGATGTTCCAGTTTACAGACATAACTATGACAGTCAGGTGCACAGACATGTGACAGGAAAGATGTTCCAGTTTACATACATAACTGTAACAGTCAAGTGCATAGACATGTGACAGGAAAGATGTTCCAGTTTACATACATAACTGTAACAGTCAAGTGTACAGACATTTGACAGGATAGATGTTCCAGTTTATATACATAACTGTAACAGTCAAGTGCACAGACATGTGAAAGGATAGATGTTTAAGTTTACAGACATAACTATGACAGTCCGGTGTACAGACATGTGGCAGCATAGATGTTCCAGTTAACAGACATAACTATGACAGTCAGGTGTACAGATATGTGACAGGATAGATGTTCCAGTTTACAGACATAACTATCACAGTCAGGTGTACAGACATGTGACAGGATAGATGTTTCATTTACAGACATAACTATGACAGTCAGGTGTACAGATATGTGAAAGGATAGATGTTTCAGTTTACAGACATAATTATGACAGTAAGGTGTACAGACAAGTGACAGGATAGATGTTCCAGTTTACAGACATAACTATGACATTCAGGTGAACAGACATGTGAAAGGATAGATGTTTCTGTTTACAGACATAACCATGACAGTCCGGTGTACATACATGTGACAGGATAGATGTTCCAGTTTACAGACATAACTATGACAGTCAGATGTACGGACATGTGACAGGACATGTGACAGGATAGATGTTTCAGTTTACAGATATAACTATGACAGTAAGCTGTACAGACAAGTGACAGGATAGACGTTCCAGTTTACAGACATAACTATGACAGTCAGGTGAACAGACATGTGAAAGGATAGATGTTCCAGTTAACAGACATAACTATGACAGTCAGGTGTACAGACATGTGACAGGATAGATGTTCCAGTTTACAGACATAACTATGATCGTCAGGTGTACAGACATGTAACAGGATAGATGTTCCAGTTTACAGACATAACTGTAACAGTCAAGTGCATAGACATGTGACAGGAAAGATGTTCCAGTTTATATATATAACTGTAACAGTCAAGTGTACAGACATTTGACAGGATAGATGTTCCAGTTTACAGACATAACTGTAACAGTCAAGTGCACAGACATGTGACAGGATAGATGTTCCAGTTTACATACATAACTGTAACAGTCAAGTGTACAGACATGTGACAGTGTAGATGTTCCAGTTTACAGATATAACTATGACAGTCAGGTGCACAGACCTGTGACAGGATAGATGTTCCAGTTTAAAGATATAACTATGACAGTCAGGTGTACAGACGTGTGGCAGCATAGATGTTCCAGTTTACAGACATAACTATGACAGTCAGGTGTACAGACATGTGACAGGATAGATGTTCCAGTTTACATACATAACTATGACAGTCAAGTGTACAGACATGTGACAGGATAGATGTTCCAGTTTACAGACATAACTATGACAGTCAGGTGTAAAGACATGTGACAGGATAGATGTTCCAGTTTACAGACATAACTATGAGAGTCAGGTGTACAGACATGTGACAGCATAGATGTTCCAGTTTACATACATAACTATGAGAGTCAGGTGTATAGACATGTGACAGCATAGATGTTCCATCTGACAGGCAAGTGTACATGAGGACATATGAGCAGATAACTCTTCCAGGTTACAGAGACGAGATTTTGTATGTAAATCATACTGTAGAAGCAGTAACTATTGTGGTGAATTAGTTTTTTATCCCATTTGCAAATAGTTTCAAAGTGACAATAAAGTCATGTTCACGTAGTGTAGCATCTCGTGTTTGCTCTTTGTGCATGATGATCTTCTTCTTTCAGATGGAACGTGAGAATGCTCATGTTATCATCGCTGAAATGTACTGGTCGAATCTGACCTTGACCTACAATTCTAGACATCACAGACGGAGACTCCATACAAGGTCAACGTATGTACAGCCATGAATATGAGTATGTGAGCGAGAGCCTATTTTGCAGTTGTTTCGGGGCCTTTTTGACGGTGTCACTAGTTACCTGAAGCAATCAAGTTTAGCACGGAGTAATCAATGTTTTACAATAATATTCCACAAAGAAAGTTCCACGCGTATAGTGTATAACGTGGCACCAATATATTGTTGTCATCAAACGGTATGAGCATTCCAAGTGGGTAGGACTTTACAGGCAGTGCATCTCATCCACCGTTTCAAGTCGAATGCATATGTTGTTGCTGTCATTTTATGGCTCTTCAATGAACTTACTGAAGTCCTCATCCATGCAGTCGGTGTCGGAGTGACATTCCACCTTGTTCCCCTGTTCTCCATCTCTCTTCACAGACACAGATTCACCATTCAAGACAAACCTATATTGCTGACTTCACATCTACTCATGTGGCCTGTGCTTTGCTTGGCTTCACAAAAAGATGACATAAAAGATTAGTTTGCCCATTCGCATTGTAATAATGGTGCCAGATGGCTGACGCATAGCTTCAAGTGAATGTACACTTCAGCTGATGCACGACTGTTGTGTTGTGGCTTCAGCAGCCCTTGGGAGGGTAAATGTCCTGTAGATGTATGTATTCTATGGACATCTGTACAGTGAGGACACATGCCGAGATGAACAACTGTAATTCGAGGAGTATGCTACAATTACGAGGGTTGATTGTTCTGATCCACACATTGGAGGCTTGGCATTTTATAGAAAAGTATAAATTGATACTTCTTGAAAGGTAACAACAAGCTGTTGAAAAAAAGGAAATTGTCTGCCACAAAACGACATTGTTGGAAGTTGTTTTTCTGTAAATTATATTCACAAATAAGTCATTGCCACGGATACATGTTTAAAATACATGTGTGGGTTTGAACTCCTTCAGCACCCACCTTATCCCCCTGATTTGGCTCCGTAGGATTCCACATGAAGAACGCTCCAGCCGGAACACATTTTGATTCGAGCGGCACCGTTGACAAAAGTGTAAGGATGTGGAAGGGGAATATGTTGAAACCAACAACATTTTAATGTCTTTAGGTTTAGTCTTTCTATGTGAGGCTCAGTCTCGTATGTTTGTAAAGCCTCGGCATACAGTGACGTACGTTATGGTGATAGCTTACTTGTATATAAATGTAATGCTGGACCTCTGCGGCAAGTGCATGTACCTGTGGTCCTCACCACTTGAAATAGAATCACGAAAGATCTCGATGATTAATTAACGAAGAGAGCTGCATGTGTGCTAATGCTTATAAAGTGAAACAAGCCATTCCGCCCATAAGGAATATTACTTGCCGTAATGACAAAACTTGCAAAATGCGCTATAGCCATTTTTCTAGCGATAAGCATCAACATAAAGTTTGGATCACTGGCTGAATTCCGCGTTATTTTCGGCACTCATGTGACTCTATTTAGACTATATTTAGCAACATACGGAGCGTACGTACCTATCGTCACCACTCGCATATTTCCGTAACCAACAACAAAGCTCGTCCCCCTCTCGAAGGCCGCCATGTGCCGAAACGGCGCAAGCCAATCTGAATGCGCGTCAGGATATGAGTACTTCGATCTATATAATCCCCAGTATTGAAATTAATTTTGGCAAAATGCGTTTGTTTAAAAAATGTGGAAAATCGTAGATTGTCAGTTCCACACCGCGGTGTATACAGATAACAGAAGTGTGATATATATAGTGATGTTATTACAGGGGGCTATGTTGGATGATAAATTCAAATGTACACGTGCGTTTGTTTACATTCAGGAAACGGCTCACTTGACTGCGACATCCGTTTATTTTATTACGCGGTCTGTCCACCCATCCATTGAGACGCCTCCTACGACAAGCATAGGCTACTTGGGAATCCCCACGGGGTTAGATTATTAACATCGTCTCACTATGTTGTTAGTATATATTTAGAAATGCTTTTATATATCTCCAGACAGATATTTAAAAAAAATAATTTATATAAATGTGTGTATTATTTAAGGCCGTCCATGAAAGGAGAGATTCAGACGTTTCAAGCATTGAAAAGACAATGTCATATTTGTTACACTCAACTTAATATGTCTGAGAAATTGTTGAAATTATTATTTGAAATTATTTAAATCCGAAAACCACCCTCGTCTTGTCAGTTTTCTTCATCTAATTTTAATATCTAATTAATAATCTTTTGCAAATAAAAGATGAACGGCTTAGAATGAGTTTTAATGGCTTGTCAAATATGCTTTTGTACAAAAGAATATATTTAGATCTATATCAGAGAGGTTCAATGGTCGTATAACAGGACTAAGCGAGCGTTTAACTAGCGTCTACATAAAATTTACTATGTCGCGGGAGAAATCAGAGTTATTGTTCTTGTTTCAAGTAGTTCTCGAGTTCGTACGCTAATATGGAAACCTTCAAGAGGGGCACGAGTCTTCATTAATTAATCTTCGCGATATTTCGTGATTCTATTTCAAGTGACGACTATTCCAATGGATATTTCCATGCTTTGAATTTGAAGACGTCGTTCTGACAAACAAGTTCATTGTGTATAAAACGACGAAATGCTCAGGACGCAGCTATTACTTGTAGACATTTCTTATATTTTTGGTAAAGATGTGCGTAATGTTTTGTCAGAGTGATTCACTGAGCAAAAAATTAATTTAACACTTTAGTTCTCTGTTAGTTCACAGTTCGGTAAACGGGAATCTTAAACTGGTACCTGTGTTCTGTTTCGCTAAGCACGTTGTGCAAGCTGTTCAAAGCAGGAGCGACAGTTGGATACCAGTTTACGGGAAAACTCATGTCAGAAATAGTTGTATAATTGTGTAGTGTTGCTAGCTGAGATGCATGTACAAGTACAAGTCACAGTGTTACAATACAATGACGCCAGTATGTTGTCTTGAATGCTTCATCCTGCATACACAAACGCGGAATAGTGTAAAACATTAATACGAAAAGAGATATTTAATTTAATAATAATAAAACACACCACAAATCAAATAACAGAATTTTGCTTGTTCTCATTCTAATTATGACTGTCATTCACTCTTACGTGCGCGTACAGCACATTCATCCATGAACACGTGTGTCGACACTGAGAGTCGGCCAGTAAACGGGTCGATACTCTTGTCTTTGGTTTTAGCCCTTGACTTAGTGCTTAGTGTGTCATGTTCGTACAGGTTACTAAACACTGGTAAATATGGAAAATAAATAAGATAGTGATGTTGAAAGATTAACCGGTAGATATTGATTTATGTATTAGCGGTGTTGGTGTTGGTGTTGGTGTTGGTGTTGGTGTGAAATGATGAGGGTGGCAACCAGAATTAGCTTGATTACATCATACTCTTCATGCATATACTTGCTATAAAACACTCATACATTAATTAAGAAATAATTGTTACAGCTATGTATTAAATTGGCATTCGATAAATGTAAGTGAATGAAATAAAACAGGATTTTCACCATCAAGCAAGTTGTCTTAACTTGGTAAGGGAAGTAACTCCTGCGGGGCAGCGTTCCTGGATGTCTACAAACCTACTCGTAACTGATAGTCTGTCTGCCTGTCTGTCTATACTTGTAACTTGTGTGTTTGTTCGTCAAGTCTTGATGAACATTTCTGTTATGACCACATGTGTATCCTTCTTCGTGAATCAGAATTCCTAAGTGTGGTGTCTCCCACACAATATGTGCATACAGACCACCTGACCGATCAATAAAGCGAACGTAAAATTCGTTTTCATTGGACTTCATTGCATTTCCATTTAATAACAATTCAATGATCAATACGGTAAACAAGAAAACATTTCTTTTATAGTGCGTGCATTTTGTTTTCATGACATCACATACAGATTCAATATTTACCACTTTTTAAAGCTCGTTCGTCACGCCGAAGACACAGGTTGTTTTTCCCCATGACGTTTACAATATGTGAAGCCCATTCCTGGTGTGTCCCGTCATGATATGCCTGGGATATTGCTACGAGTGGATAAAACCAAGCTCACTCACTCACTCACTCACCCAGATACTGGAATATGTAGCTGAACCAAAGCTGGACAGCTCGTCACAGCTGTTCGGTTGTTTCTAAACGGTGACATATGACGTGTATGGAGGCAATTTGATATGATTAAATACGCAATGGAATAGGTGCATGCTATAGGGTTGTATGTTCACAGCTGTAGGATTTATATTCAGATTGAAATATTCATTCCGAGACGAATTTTGTGATTCAGGTGATTGCTGGTGATGTAACGATGCATTTAACTACTAAGCTACATGTACGACCACGGTAACTATAACACATGGACGACTACAACAAGTATAGTGATAACAGCGAGGTTCTACTAAGACCTACGATTTCTGTTAGGCTGCAATGATGAGTACATCTGTGGCAACTGTGTCTACCTCCGTGATGGATATATTGAGGACACGCCATGTGAAGAAGTTCTGCAAAAGCTGAATCAGGCAGATCAATGAGCACGGGTAGACGCTTCAGCTGACACCCTTTTTTAAAGTAAACACATGTTTATTTCTTAACATGGTTTTATATATATATATGCCCAAATCATAAGGGTGACATATCAGACAGTCTGACTGCATCTCTACACAGGGGCAAGTAGCAGACCAACATACATTACAAAAGTCAAAATTACTGAAGACTCTTGCAGAAATTCTGACAATTATACGAGTGATATATGGAAAGCGTTCACTTACTTGAAACAGTATGTACCATAGTTACACCACTAATAATACAACCAACGTTCATGCCATACCTGACAACACGTCAGGTATGTCGAGGCTAACCTTTTGTCATAAAACTTTCAGTCATCAACAAGCGGTCATCATGGACACGTCAGTCGTGGCCTGACATTAACTAGATACATAAGACAAGACAGCATTCGGAGCACATTTCAAGGACACAGAAATTAACAATCCTTGCACGACTATTGACATCTCGGGGTGTGCATTTGGCAACATTGGAAGCCGTGAGCCATTTTATCAATGCCCCCTTTCCCATCAGGGTGAGGCGGCGTTTATCGTCGCTGTGCCATGCAGGTCGTCAGCTTACACCCACAACCAGGTGCCAGATGCAATAAGATCAAAGATAGGAAGGATCGCAGCTAAATACTCTACAAGAACTTCTGAACTTCTGAACATTCTGAGTATTTGTTTGTATTGAAATGTACATGAAATAGATGTGGTTCAGATTGAATGTCTACATAGGGGTCTGTAATGGGCGACTGGATTGCAATGAGAATGCCGCCATTTAGGAACATGCAGATGAGTAATCAACTCCGTGTTTCTATCTTCACTTCTCGCGTAGTCTTATGTGTGGATGCATGGGTTGTACAGGGTATTAACAAAGCGGTAACACTAATATATTTAACAAACTGTATTGCTCTCATTATCACGTATGCACCATCGCATATATAAGTATGACAGGAAACACCTGGTTCAGTCCCACGCATTCATACTAGTATGACAGGAAACACCTGGTTCAGTCCCACGCATATATATGAAGAGAAACACTTGGTTCAGTCCCACGACATTTCAAACGTTACCACATACCACATCAGCACTTTATATCAGATTCAATGGTATCAAATGAGATGTTTAACCCGTTACAACTACAACAGACGAAAGCTTGAGATGTGTTACCAACTGTGACCTAGCTGTTGCGATTTTCTACTCTTAGCTCACTAATTCTACACTCGTTCAACAACAACTGCTAGGTCCAAACTATCACAACGTCTATCCCCGCACGCCCATGACGTCTAATTGACATTCGCTTAAAACCACAAACGTTAGAATACTGCCAACAACCATCAATATTTTAAACAACCTTTTTATGACTTATACATTATTATTATTCTTATTTTACCTTTCAACCATAAAATATAATACACCATGTTACATCCAATAATTGTAAAATAGATATGTACAAAGAAACCTAGTTAGGCTATTAAAATACCATATAAATGTCACTGCTACATATTCACCTCTACGTCTTGTGGCTCTACTCAATATAAGAAGTACATCTATTACAGTTCCACTACTGGCATCGACTCCCCTCTATAAAACCTTCTGAAAAAGACGCATCTTTCCAAAGGTCCTACATTTGCCAACAGGCAATCGAAGCGCTAAAGAAAGCCCTTTCCACAGCCCACATTCTTGCATATCCCAACCAAAACAAACCCTTCATCCTCACAACTGATGCATCTCAATTACAATATGGTACGTTGTTGGCCAACTTGATTCTCATGGCAAAACTTGTAATGATGCTGTAAAGTCATGGATTTTGATGATACAAGTATCTTCCTGATATTGGTCCTGTTCTGTTTTTAGGAATAAACAATGTTGGTTGGTAACGTTTCTATTGCTCGTCAGTTATGAGCAATTTTAAGCACAGACTAGAGTAGGGCACATACTTGGCCATGACCGTAGTACTGCCATTTTAAGCACAGATATGTATGTTGGGTACATAAATTCATCTTGAGACTACATCTAGGCTCTAAACGAAGATTCTATATTGCCATTTTAAGCACAGACTAGTGTTGAGCAGTTACAGTTCATCTTGAGACAACATCTAGGCTCTCAACGTAGATTATATATTGCCATGCTATGCACAAACTAGGATTTGGTACATACAGTTCATCTTGAGACAACATCTAGGCTCTGACCATAGTACTGCCATTTTAAGCACAGACTAGTGTTTGGAACATACAGTTCATCTTGAACTGTGTTGGGCACATACAGTTCATCTTGAGTGAGTGAGTTTGGTTTTACGCTGCTTTTAGCAATATTCCAGCAATATCACGGCGGGGCACACCAGAAATGGGCTTCACACATTGTACCCATGTCGGGAATCGAACCCGGGTCTTCAGCGTGACGAGCGAACGCTTTAACCACTAGGCTATCCGACCGCCCAGTTCATCTTGAGACTTGGGAGGTTTACGCACAGACAAGTGTTTGGTACAGTTCATCTTGAAACCACACCTAGGTTCTGGCCGTAGATTCTATAGTGTCAGTTTAAGCACAGACTAGTGTTTGGTACAGTTCATCTTATAACCACATCTGGGGTCTGGCCGTAGATTCTATAGCGTCATTTTAAGCGCAGACTTGCGTGGGATACATACAGTTCTGGCCGTAAGTGATAGCATTTGTGTGGAAGGATGTCCGGTTTCAGGGGCCCAGTTGCAAGCTCCCCTTGTCAACCTCTAAAAGCATACCCCTCGGTTTTCAGGTCCCTTAAATTACCCGTATTAAAAGGAAGACTATGCGACATGAACGGCTCATCCTCTGCACCAGTAACCTCCCTTCGTATGTAAATCCGAGCAATTTTGCTAACATGTAGTATTCACGCGGACGTTATCAGTTTATCAAGCTTCTGGGTGTAGCCGTATATTTCAGATAACAGGTTTCGATCAATAATAAAGACTCGTCGCTGTATATTACCTATAAAAGATGAACAGGTGTCACTGACGAATGTTTATACAAAAGCACCGTATGTTAATAGCAGCACATTTACAAAAATGTCACTTAGGTTGTGACAAAGCGAAGTATATAAGTATTCTTGGTTGTATAACTATACTGGAGCAGTATAAATGTACTTACTATTTGTGTGACTTACTTACTATTTGTGTGACAGAATGGCAGACATGGCAGTCATCAGTCTTATATATTTATTGTTTCAAAATATGCAACCATGTGTAATAAAATATTAATTGATAGAGGTTAAAAGGCCTGTTTTCGCCGTGATTTGGACATGATTTATATAATTGCATCCAGGCAGCAACTGTCGTCCTCATTCCAATAGCTGGTGGATAATTATTCATTTGTCTTTTCGATAATTAGTTTTCGTTTTTGTCATCATCAGCATTTTCATCAGGTCTGATTGATTCGCTGTCGAGTAAGCGAACTGAGTTTGGGTGAGATCGAGAAGAGTAGCATGAAGTAAGGCGGTTAAGCAATGGGAAACAACGCGGAAAGTAGCCACAATTACATGTGTTGACCCAATGTGATGTTACATGTATGTATAATGTTCTGAAACTTGAATGTTTGACTAGGCTTCATGTAATGATCTATGTACAATAGCACACCAGTTCACCCCTATGCCCGCCTGTTGAGAGTGGGGCACGGGTGGCGACAGGTCGGAGTTAATCAATATTAAGATAGATCCCGGTCGCTGTGTGTTACGTCAGTTACAGGGTCATTCACTCATATTCGTCAAAACAATGCTCCAGACACAAACAGTTTTCTATGTTGCGATGTGCACATACGGTTTATTATGGAAGTACAACTGTATAAGTGTATGACAGTTTAATCATTTCCCTTGTCGGGGGATAGTGTCTACAGTAATGTATACTAGTATTAGTACATAATATATCATATAGTGACACATGCTGTGTTTTGGCACATCGACAGTACGGCTGCAAGGGCTATGAATAAATCCGCTGACATTGGAATAATCTATCGATCATTCGTTTTCTCAACTATTTATCAACGCCAACTTATATGAAGGATTACAATAAAGATTGTAACGTGTTTCAACTCATCCATTAAATTAACCAGAGACCATCTATTATATGATATCTGTATTAACTCAGTATCTTAAAAAAGTATGCACCTTCTGCCTTGACCCACTTTACGATATCGAAAGTAATCATTACTGTCGTACTCATGGTAAACAATGCCAGTGAAAGACTTGATATTTTTGCCTTCGCGGCATTGATATTAAATGCTCAATCGAAAGACGACGCGCTATACCGAGGGAGCGATGCTTTGTTTACGAAGGGAGCTAACTCGTCTTGACAATGCGATACGGGGTTTGACAGGTAGGCAGATGGCTGGCAGTCATTGAGTTTTGTCGTCTGCTGCATTTGAATCGGGAGGCAGACAGGACGGGACACAGCTCATATCGGGATTAATTTGGAAGGGAAACTGCGTTTAGGATACAATATGAACTTGTAAACTGTATACCTGTTTTGGAGGTGCTGAGGACTACTTGCCTCATGTCACCCTGCCAACTTATGATCCTGTGACATGAACCTCGGAGTTTCAACAAGCGATGGCAGATAAACAGAGGTACGTTCTTTTCTTTATGCCATACAGATTGTATCTGGTTTTGTTTTAACTAGATATATTATAACCAAGGGGCATATAAAACTTGTCTTGATTTAGATCTGAAGTTATCCGTGATGGCAGGCCATGTTCTGTTGTCTGTACTATCGACCGGAGCAGCATGTGACATCTGCGATTTGCGTCATGTTGCTTTCGATAGCGATAAATGAAATGGCCTGATTGCATTTTATGTTCTCTATGTTACCTTTCTATTGCCATTTTTACGACAGTTGCGGTAGGTTGTGATATTAATTTCACAGTAAATCTCAAGTTTTGATGAGTGAAAACCATTTCTAAAACTCAACGAAAGATACTGTACATTCCTCACAGTATATTGAATGAATTGTATTTTAGTATATAAAAAATAATGTCTCTACGAAAAGTATAATCATCTCTATAAATCATCTGTATAAAACCCGGCTGATTTGAGCCAAGTAAACCTTTTCACGGGAGATCGCCCTTTCAAAAGCTAAAATGTGGACACTGACTTCAAATAAAAGGTATTAGGCGTTCTATAAAAGGCCACACCCTGGTGCTTTTGAAAAGATAGAGCGACTGACTGAGCCTGCACGCAAGGGGGGATTCGTCATTATAGATGTGTTCCGAAGACACTCACTCCATTTTGGCTGAACACCGTGACCGGTCTCAGGCTTAATGCCGGATTTTCTAGCTTTTTTTATTTGCGTAAGACCTCGATAATAAATTCGGGCGATGACCTATGTTTTGAACTCACGTAACAAGGCATCTTTTTCCGACTTCAGATTTATCGTTTGTGTTTCTTATTGTATTTCCCAACTCAAGGAAGTGTATTTGCTCAAGAACATTCGTTCCTTATCGCCTATTTAAATATATACTGTGACTGAGCCCAGTTAGGTATCCTTTGTAATCTCGGGTCGCTGTTTTAAAAACCATTTTCTCTATCATAAGCCACAGTGTTTCTATCTCGGACAAATCAAATATTACCCAAATCTACAAGTAAATGTCTTAAGCCAAATGTTCTCAGTGTTTGATATCCGACCACTTTGTTTAAAGGCAACAAAGAATTGATTGGCATACGGTTCAACCGCCATGTGGGAACACCACTTTCCATCTGTCTCATTGCCACCGGCAGTCATCCTAGGTTGGCAGAACACTGGTTGGAGAACTATGAACCGATTGTCCCTAAAGTTCAACGCTCGGCAACAAAATATTTGAATGGTTCGATCAAACACATTCAACTGTCAGTTACAGTAGGGTGCAGCGGGAAAGCCTTTTTGTTCGTCATTATTCATATAATTTGCAATCATTTGTGACAATGACAAGGTGGGGTGAGTTTTATCACCCCAAGTGTCATAATACAAAATAATCTTTGGCGTCGTTAGATGAATTTTGTACATGGATACTTAAGCATAAAGTATTTAAACATAAAGAGAAACAGACAGAGATATTCACAGTGGTTTAGATATCTTACTATTAGCAGAAACAATACAATGCTTACGTTCTGTAGAAATGCTGGTGTATCTTTATTTTTCATCAAACGTTTTTGTATGTGTATCGCCTGATTGTCTCGTCTCGTGTAATAGATAGTTCTTCTTTGATGTGTTGAAGAATGATGAGTCACGACTGAACCATTAATCCGGTGTACATATCACTTCTAAAATCCTGATTCATCTTGAAAGCAGATGAGAAACACCAGACATTACAAAGTAATTATCCTAACATGAGGCTGACAATTAAAAAAATATCCTAATACAATGAAAAGGTTTGTCATCCGGTTCGAAATTCTAATTTCTTTGTCACTGAGGCCTAATCTATTCCGAATCACAGTCCGACCGGAACCACGTGTCCATCTCCAGTGAGGAGCTGTGTTTATGCTCACAAAACTGCATATTTAAAATAATAGGAATCAAAGGTATAGAAACCCGCATCATTAGTATCACTTATTATCTTTAGTTAGCCCTGTATGATCGATGTTGCAAAGAAATGGTGCTCGCTTACATCCCATTTGGGTCGAACCGTAGCTTTTGTCCCACTGTCCCACTCAAGCTGATTCAGCAGTGTAATACTAATTATCGCTGAAGAACACACGAGAGAGCCGGGGGAAGAGTAAGAAAGGCGGTTATGGGGATTGTATACAGGGATACTAGATGTGGACGTCAATTTCACCAGCTGTTACTGAATGGAAGTTAATCTCATCCTCAGTTGAATGTGCCATGTGAAAGGGGACAACGCGGCTAGTTGCAACACTTTTTAAAAACCGAATGGGAGTAATAAACTTAGTACCTGGTAAGGATCTGTGTTGTTTCTCTCACTAGGATGCACACAAGAAATGTTTCACACCTCTTGATATCGTTATCTATCTTTGATCTAAACCGACATCTGTTATTGAAAGTTTATTTTTTGTATACATTAGCTTTTATTCATTGTAAATATATATTACTGAATATGTGTATTGCTTTACTCATTCATTCATTATGTTTTAAATATATAAATACATGTGATGGAGATATAGGGGAAATATTATTTAAATTTACAACAGAAAAAGCAGTAGCCTCAGAGTTGTGAGAGAAAAGACACACTTAGATATAGAAATAACATTAATAAAATTAATTAATGTAATTGTATACTTATATTGCGCTAGTATTTACATACATTATATAATTAACATTACAAAGTGTTCTCACCGTAACTAATTTCCTTCCATAAAAAGCATACAGCAAAGTAAGTTTTCAGATTGCATAATCAATGTGTCATGTAACTCAAATGTTGTTGAAAAGGAAAGACATTATTTGCCTGACATGTAAGTATGGCACATGCTGCGTGTATTCAGTAGTTACTTCTGATCGATACCATCACAACGTTCGATTTATAGCCAATGCTTCAAAGACTACAAGTCAAAGGAATTGACGACAGGGACTGAAAGTAAACGAGCTGTATGTGTCAAGTTGAGGTCAGATAATTTATGAGGTATTAAGTATCCCTTAATGGGTTTCTTACATTCCGCTCATGTAACAGTCCGAACATATACTGGGGACGCCTCCTGCGATAGGTATACATATCTGGTCGTGGTTTAGATTGTTCCCCCGGTTTTAAAAAATTCCCCATCAGCCAACCTAAGCTGGTCGCTCGATGCGACTAAATGGGAAATGGTGTGGCTGGCCCAGACTCGTTCTTTTACAGGCAGCCGTCTTATGTCTGGAATATTGTTTAGGGCGTTTATGTAGTTTAATTTCATGCATCTGCTTCAATGTGTATACTACGTATCACCATTAGTTAAAAGTGAAATGTTTATTGAACACATCGTTACGCTGACACATCCCCATACTATAAGTCGGTTATTAAGCTCTTCCGTTTGCGTCCTACGTGTCAGATCTAGGGACTGCTACATGTGCGTCCTACGTGTCAGATCTAGGGACTGCTACATGTGCGTCCTACGTGTCAGATCTAGGGACTGCTACATGTGCATCCTACGTGTCAGATCTAGGAACTGCTACATGTGCATCCTACGTGTCAGATCTAGGAACTGCTACATGCGCATCCTACGTGTCAGATCTAGGGACTGCTACATGTGCATCCTACGTGTCAAATCTAGGGACTGCTACATGTGCGTCCTACGTGTCAGATCTAGGGACTGCTACATGTGCGTCCTACGTGTCAGATCTAGGGACTGCTACATGTGCGTCGTACGTGTCAGATCTAGGAACTGCTACATGTGCGTCCTACGTGTCAGATCTAGGGACTGCTACATGTGCATCCTACGTGTCAGATCTAGGGACTGCTACATGTGCGTCCTACGTGTCAGATCTAGGGACTGCTACATGTGCGTCCTGTGTGTCAGATCTAGGGACTGCTACATGTGCATCCTTCGTGTCAGATCTAAGGACTGCTACATGTGCATCCTACCTGTCAGATCTAGGGACTGCTACATGTGCATCCTACGTGTCAGAGCTTGGGGCTGCTACATGTGCGTCCTACGTGTCAGATCTAGGGACTGCTACATGTGCGTCCTACGTGTCAGATCTAGGGACTGCTACATGTGCGTCCTACGTGTCAGATCTAGGGATTGCTACATGTGCGTCCTACGTGTCAGATCTAGGGACTGCTACATGTGCATCCTACGTGTCAGATCTAGGGACAGCTACATGTTTAGCCTTCGTGTCAGATCTAGGGACTGCTACATGTTTAGCCTTCGTGTCAGATCTAGGGACTGCTACATGTGCGTCCTACGTGTCAGATCTAGGGATTGCTACATGTGCATCCTACGTGTCAGATCTAGGGACTGCTACATGTTTAGCCTTCGTGTCAGATCTAGGGACTGCTACATGTTTAGCCTTCGTGTCAGATCTAGGGACTGCTACATGTGCGTCCTACGTGTCAGATCTAGGGATTGCTACATGTGCATCCTACGTGTCAGATCTAGGGACTGCTACATGTGCATCCTACGTGTCAGATCTAGGGACAGCTACATGTTTAGCCTTCGTGTCAGATCTAGGGACTGCTACATGTTTAGCCTTCGTGTCAGATCTAGGGACTGCTACATGTGCGTCCTACGTGTCAGATCTAGGGACTGCTACATGCGCATCCTACGTGTCAGATCTAGGGACTGCTACATGTTTAGCCTTCGTGTCAGATCTAGGAACTGCTACATGTGCGTCCTACGTGTCAGATCTAGGGACTGCTACATGTGCATCCTACGTGTCAGATCTAGGGACTGCTACATGTGCATCCTACGTGTCAGATCTAGGGACTGCTACATGTGCGTCCCACGTGTCAGACCTAGGGACTGCTACATGTGCGTCCTACGTGTCAGATCTAGGGACTGCTACATGTGCGTCCTACGTGTCAGATCTAGGGACTGCTACATGTGCGTCCTACGTGTCAGCTCTAGGGACTGCTACATGTGCATCCTACGTGTCAGATCTAAGGACTGCTACATGTGCGTCCTACGTGTCAGATCTAGGGACTGCTACATGTGCGTCCTACGT